TGTTCACACATTTGGCAATGATGCCACCTGGACACTAAGTAATGCAGTAATACAGATCAATGATCCATCCATCCGATCTTTGATCTGTATTACTGGAATACTTAGTGTCCAGGTGGCATCATTGCCAAATGTGTGAACACCTCAACTGGCTCCTTTCTATGTGGAGGAGCAGCTTCTTTTTCTGTTCACAAACCTAATATATTGTATTTATAGATAATTCTGTTATGTTTTTCCTATTTGTGTTCCTCTGCAATTCTTATCTGTGGTTTGACTCAACACATGAGAATTCATTTTTAGAATTTGTTTTCTTTTATTTCCTGCATCCTTAGAAATTTTGTGTTTCTTCATCAGAGTTTTGTGTTTCTTCATCACTTTGCCCTGAAGGGGATGAATTACTGCAGTGTGACGCAAACACTATGAGTTGTAACCTGTGTTGTTTCACTGCTACAGTGTGCGCTGCTTATCAGGCATTTCATGTCTGACAGCTGCTCTGTAAACATCTGTTCTGTGCTGCTCCTCCCAACTGCAGGCAGGAGGCAACACTTCAGGCTAAATTATTCTTTGTTTTTCTTTTTGGAGCATATTTGAAGTCTCTGCACAGGTACATTTTCTCGATATAAATGCACATTTTTTGGCTATTTTAATGGATTTTTGTGCATGAGGGTTGCTGTTTCTATCTTCATCAGATGAGGAAACTGGTGATTTGTGTCGTTTCGAGCCTGGTTGTTTTGGGTGCAGTCGGATTTGTCTCCCTCCCCTGGCTCTGCAGCCTGGTGGCAGGGCTGGGGCTCTTTGTGGCCTGGATGGGACCCTGGAAGAAACTTCATGTTGCTCTGCACACCATCAAGAGGGACCTGATGTACGCAAGTAGTTCATGTTTCTTTTAATGCGTGACATTTAAATCTCCCTCGGCTTTCTCTTTGCTCCATTCCTGTTTACAGCTGTCCTTCACTCCTTCCTCATCTGTGCCAAACAGGTGTTTGGTTGTTATTATGCAAGTGAAGCATTCTATAAACCGTAACCTGCRAAAGAAAAGCACCATCCCTTCCTTGTTTGCTGAAAATGTGATGCAGAGCCCAGACAAACCGGCCTTGATTTATGAGGCAACAGGAGAGGTGAAAATAACAAAAATGAACGTCACATCAACTACTGTATGTTGTCTCCTGCATTGAGACAGGAAAATAAAAGCTATTTCAATGTTTGTGCTCTTTAAGGTTTGGAGTTTTAAAGAGTTGCAGGAGCGGTGCCATGCTGTGGCTCATTGGGCACTGGAGCAGGGCTGGGTGGAGGGTGAYGTTGTGGCTTTGTACATGGAAAACCGGCCGTTAGTGGTGGCTCTGTGGTTGGGTCTGGCCATGACCGGTGTAGAGGCTGCATTTATCAACTACAACCTTCATCAAGACTCACTGCTGCACTGTGTCAGGGTGTCTGGAGCTCGGGCGATGGTGTTCGGAGCAGAAATGACAGAAGGTATCCAAGCATGTGAAAGCTGGCAAATGTAAAATCTGATCAGAAGTGCTTCATTTKYAGCTCACAWGGCTTTGGATTATCTTTCAGCTGTGTCAGAGGTGATTGGGTCTCTGCAGCCCAACATGGTTTTCTTCTGCAGTGGTGAGGAGAACAAGGAGAATCTTTGCAGACTCAAAGCTCAGAGTTTGGATTTCTTGCTGCACCAATCTCCCACACACCCGCCCCACTACAAACTGAGGAAAGGATTTAATGGTAATGCTATATCATGCAGGTAAACTGTTTTGTGTATCAGAACATGATGCAAAACTTCAGTTACAGTGCAGACCTCATATTCAAGTCTTTGCCTGTTAAAGCAAAGACTTCCTTCTGGTCTGAGATTTAACCCAGCAGATGCACCAAAACACCTGCAAACATCACTGTCAAACACAGAAAATTTGTCACAGTTTGCAGTTTATTCAAAAATTTGTTTTTAATAACTACATTTCAGCATATTGAAAGTCAGCTACTACACTGTACATAAATAAACTACTAATAACAAGGCTTGTTTCTAACTCGGTTATTACTCTACATTCTTCTGTCGTAACTCTTCAAGTCGTTGCTTGCTCAGCCTATCAGAGGAGTAAAGAATGTGTCAAAAGATGAGAGAGTTTTACAGCATGCAACACAAGTAAAACTTGGTCAGGAACACACTTTGAAAGCACAAACTGCTATTTTTGTTTAGTTCCAACTATGATTTCACTTTTTTTTTACAGACAAACTCTTCTACATTTACACCTCTGGCACAACCGGTATGCCAAAGGCTGCAATAGTCATTCACAGCAGGTGAGTTTATTCATGATCTGAGCTGATTATTCAGCTCCATGAAGCAACAAAGCAATTTAATGGCAACAGCGGTGACAAAAATCTGTTTAAAAAGCTGTTACATTTATTCAGGTAGTTTTTGTAC